GAAGGCGGTGAGTTGAGGGCTGGAGAGGACCCCAAGCCCCCCTAAGGGAGGGACCCAAGCACCTCTGAGGGGTGGCAACGGGGCTGGGGATGGTCCTTGTCCCCCACAGCTGGACTCGCTGCAGGAGGAGGAGGCATTGCATGGTCCCCTGAGTGTGCTGGGCCAGGAGCTCCAGAGGTTTCTGGACATCCACTGGCTGGGGCCCATCGCCCACCCTGCTGAGGAGGTGGGTGCACAGGGACTGGCAAGGGGTGGCCCCAGGGAGGGTGGGGGGCTGGAGCCCCTGCTAAGCTTGGCTTCTCGCAGGAAAGCGCTGGCAATGCCAACAAGGGCAGCTTCAAACTTCGCCTCAACATCCCCAAACCCAGGAAGGACAAGGCACAAAAGCAGAAGACCAACAGCGCGCTGCCAGGTAAAGCAGGTGCCACACTGGGGAGGGAGCCAGGCACAGCCCACGCTGGTAGGGACCCCCACCCCACGTCCTGACCTACCCACTGGCCTCCTGTCCTGGGCATGCTGTGGAAAGACCCTCTGTGAGGGGGACAGGGCATGTCCTGGCTGCCTGGGGATGTCACCTTTGTCACCAACAGCCCCTTAGAGCTTAAGCTAATGGACACGTGGAGCTCCCTGGCCCTGTAACCACCACCATGGCAAGGGGGGAAGAAGGGTAAGTCCATGCCCTAGGGCTGGGGGATCTCCTCAAGGAGAAGCTCGGAAGCTCTGTAAGTAAGCCAAGGAGAGGAGAAACTTCTCCAGCCTGAGCCTGCTGTGTCTGGGGGTGGGATGGGGATGCTGCCTGCTGCCTGCTCTGCTGCGTCCTGCTGCCTCCGTGGGGACACAGCCCACCTCTGTGCCTTTCCTCCCTGCTAGCAGACAAGTGGGGCTCCGAGGAGGTGGCAGCTTGGCTGGAAACGCTTGGTTTAGGGGAATACAGAGACATTTTTATCCGGCATGACATCCAGGGCTCTGAGTTGATCCTGCTGGAGAGGAGAGACTTGAAGGTACATTCCCTGAGGGAGCCCCAGCCCCTGGGGAGCATGGTGTCCTCCATCCCTCCTCTCCCCCCATCCCTCATGGAGGAGAAAGGCAGGTGCTGACCCTGCTCACATCCCAGCCTTGCAGGGCTGAGCTTGCAGCGCTTGCTTAGCTTGCAAGGTACAGGGGAAGGGGGTGGCCCTGGACCCCCAGTTCCCAAGGCTCTGTATACCTGCCCAAAGCAAGATCAACAGCACCCCATGCCCTCTCCTACACCCAAGCATGGGGATGTGCTTGCAAGAGGACAAGGCTCCTAGCAAGGACCACGCTCTGGCAGGGAGAACATGGGGAGCTGGGCTTTGCAGCCTCATCCTCTGCCCCACAGCTTCTCCCACCAGTGGGAGCTGAGGGTTGGCCCTGTACGAGCTCATCGGCTCCCTTCTCTCCTTCCCACAGGACCTGGGGATCACCAAAGTGGGCCACATGAAGAGAATCCTCCAGGCCATTAAGGAGCTCAGCAACCCTCCCTAGGCCAGCGCTGGGTGCTGTCCCTAGGGCCCAGGGGTGGGGCAGGGGGGGCTCCAGGTCCCCATTGTGCCCCATGGGTAATGTGGAGCCCCCACTGCTTGCCTCGCTTTGTCTGTTTGTCCCCTGGTGTCCCTGCTTCTCGCCAAGCCTGTGGGCCTGGAAACACTAAAGCAGAGGTCTCACCTGGTAGAAAGTGTGGTGTGACCCCCAGTCTGACCCACGGCAGGGTCACTACAGGAGCTTGGGCTGCCATCTCTGTGCCTGAGCTGGGGCTAAAAGCAAAAGATCCCCCCCCTTCCCCACGTGGGTATTTAAGCTGTGTAAATATTTGGAGAAAAGGTACTCATTGCTGCTGCTGCTTGTGGAGTGTCATTCCTTCAGGGGAAGGGTCATAGGACATCCCCTTCCAGCCTTCAACCCCTCAGCTTCCTGCTTTCCCCCCTTCCTCCTCCTCCTCCCCGGCATCATCATCATCCCCCTAACTCTCACCTTCTGCAAGGGGAACCACAGTATAATTTCCACCACCATCCCCTACCCCTCTCCCAGAAGACACCACCAACACATAAGACAAACACAATATTTTATTAACAACTCAACATGACTCTTTTTTTTTTCCCCACCCCTCCCTTCCCTCCCTCCCTCCCCTTCTTCAGCTAAAATTGTTATAGTTTATGTACATGCTGTTCCCCTGCCAGAGAGCAGCCAGCTATTTACAGGCTATTTACAGAGCCAGGGCTAGCAGCTCTTCAGGATCTCCTCCAGCTTGAGCATGTCCATGGGGGTGACTTTGGCAACCTCAAAAAAGACCCTGGAAGAAACCACGTTGGGTTAGAGCTCAGCTCACCCACCTACCAGAGCTGCCCTCCCCAGCTCCCTGCAGCACCCAGAGGTGCACCCTGGCAGTGCCACCCTGTGTGGAGGGGACAGGCAGGAGGTGACACTCACTTGTGGGAGTACTTGGTGCGCACAGCCTTCAGCTTGTCCCAGGGTTGGTATGTGAGCAGGAAATTCAACCTCCTCACCAGGGGATGCAGGTCCTGGGCACAGTACCCACTGTAGTGTTCCAGTGTGGGGGTCTGCAAAGGGACAGCAGGGCTGAGCTGGGTCCTCTCAGTCATGGTCATCTTCCCTCTCCAATCTCCCCCCACACAT